TTGCAAATAAATAAAATACATTATTTACTTAAAAATACATACATGCGTATTACTATATATGAAATACTTTCATTTTTCTTCTAAAATATTATTAATTAAATTAAATATTTTAACTCAAAACTTTTTAACAACTAACATATATGCGGACTAGTTAGGGACCCATATCACTGACTACTCCTGTAGCAGTTGGGCAGAGGAGATGAAGATAATTGTGATGCTCCGGAAACTACCAAAAGCACTAAAAGCATTTTTAGTGATTCTTTTTTTTTATTTTTATATAATTTATATTTAATAAATATTCTGTCAAATAATGTTGTGAGATTCAACAGTTTTTGATAAATAAGATTTAAGAGACCTGATAATTCACAATTATCTCTCTGTGGTGTGGAGATCTACTCTTTTTTTTTCAAATTATGTTTTAAATTAAAATAATAAAATTTTCTAATATTTTTAAAATTTTTTCGTCAAGTCTTAATTCGATATCACCAGTTTTAGTATCCAACAATACGCTTTACTCAAACGATATGGTTGTGTCCTCATGTAGTATATTTGATAGCATATTTAACTTATTCTACTTAAACAGTTAAATCCATTAAAACTTTGGTATAATGAGGAGTTCACTTCTTTCCACAGCATAAATGAGCGATGCCTTCTTAATTTTGCTAGCCACTCACTCAAATGATGAGATGAGGAATGTCTGTTAATTTAAAGGCGAGTAAAATCCATTACTTCTTTACTGTTTTGGAATATAAGGGGTAGCCAGCGTATTTTCACTTATGATACCTTACCAAAGATAAATTTAATACTACTGACTGCAGATGCTGCAATGTTTTGTCCTTTTCATATTTTCATTCATTTTAGGCCTCACATAATAGTAAGTTTTGGTCTACATTGCTCTCGAAAAGACGCAAATAACTTGTACTTCCTAACGATCGTCCAGCGCTGCTTCACCCGGCTGTATAACTCACTTCGAACGCTTTGATCTTAGCACACTTTCCTCTGACTTTTTGTTAGTCATGTGCCACAAGTCTGTCTCTAATGCTTACATGACAGGCATTCAGATTCTTCCATCCCCACTCTGTACCATCGTGGCTTTCGTGAATCTGATCACAGAGCCTACAACTAATCTACTCCACTCACTTGCATAATAGCCTTACTATTCCAATCATCCTCCTTATCTCTATACTATGCCGAGCTTTCTGGCTTTGATAAACCTAATCTTCCACGTATTAAGCCTATATCTTTCAATTATATTTCAGTAATTAGGGGGGAGATGAGATTAGATGGGGAAATGTTAAGTTTCTCACACTGCCCTCCGGGTCTGTGTGCAAAATCTTTTTTATTCATTCCTGAGTTGTTTTTAGTGGGTTAAAGTCGAGCACGCTGGCTCTCGATGATTTCTACCTACCGCAGAAAAGCAGAGGAAGGCCATAGCAGACTGAAAGAATTGGTTTGAAAATATGAATATAATTCATTTACACCTAAGAATACTCTATAGTAATTCTTAGTAATAGTAACCTAATTACTCTATAGTAATTATAAGTATAATTTTATTGCATTTTCTTTAATTTTAATTAAATTATTTTAATTGAAATTAATTAAAATGTATGTATTTCTTTAAATTAAATTTTAAAATAATTTGTTAGATTGAAATATTTCTTCTCATTCACAATAAAATAATTGTGACTATTCACAATCATGCGATTAGTTAAAGCACATGAAAAGGTTCTGTTCTTTGCTATTTTAAGAATCACGTTGTTAATGAAATGATGTCAGATGTCGCTGTTACTCTAACAAACTGACTAATGCCCATTAGGAAATGTATTTAGCAGTTTCTATAATATTTAAATATTATTAATATATTTGTTTTGTTTATTTTATTATTTATTTTATTAAATTTTTCATGTTTGTTAATACACAATAGTGTAAAGCAATGATAGCGAAATAAACAAGTACAGACAGATTACGAAATTAGCGAAATAAATTACAGTTTTGGCGAAATTCGAGTGAATTCCAGTTAATTCATAAGAAAAACAAGTAAATAAATATTTTTAAAGTAACGCTTAAGCTAAAGTTAAAGCATTTAAGGGAGCACGTAGGTTTTTGCAGAAAACAAAACCTGGTCAAGGTCAAAAGCTACTCTAGTAACAATAACAGAAATGAGTCGAGGCTCATTAATGCGCAATGTGAACGCAGAGTCATGCTCGCTTGCATGTCAGCCTGCATTTCGTCATACGCCAATTATTCAAGTCATTACATTTCATTTGCGTGAATTACCTAGCTTTGTTTTGATAATAACAACTTCATTCGTACTGTACCTGACGATAACTGTGGATTTACTGTTTGCTGTCCTTCGTTGCTGTTTTGTTTTCATTTTTACAATAATTTTTATTATTTTTAAAATTTTATTTATTTTTCATTTTTTATGAAATTTTAATTTATTTAAGTTTTCAGTCTCAAGTTGAGCGTTGAATCAATTGTCAAGTGTTCGCTTACGCTGTTGCCAGAGGCGAAGAGAAGGTAGTGCTGGTGCCTGTTTGCCCTTTTAGCGTAACGCCTAGCAACAGCTGATGGAATTATAGGCGCGTGCTGAGCAGCACGTGTCACTCTCGCATGCTGACTACCAATTTAGGTGCTGATGACGTTTCCATTGATATGAAAGCGTTTACTTTGCGCTGAGAGGTGAAGAAATAGGTTTCGTTTCTTATATAAATGCGATTATGTTTAGGAATATTAAATAAATGTTATTCAATTTATTAAGAATTTCTATTTGTGGTTAAACAAACAATTTTGGAAATAAATTTGTTTCATTTAATGTTTCGTTTTGGAAATATTAAACCAAAAATTTCGCCACGAGGAACTATTGACATTTGTCAATTTGTTTCACGCAGGAAATCTGATTTTTAATATTCCATGGTTTCAGAGATGGTTTTGTTAAATTATTCTATTTTTTTTTGTTGTTAATTGTAGAAGATTGAAAAACTGGCACGTGAAATTTTAAATTATTAAAATAAATTTTTAAGAATGATTTATAAAGTAATTCATTGAACTCAAACTGACAATTTGAATTGAATGGAACAAATTTGGAGTTCAAGTTCAAAAAAAAAATTTTTAAACATTTACTGCTAAAATAATCAAACCAAACTTTGGAAATATCAAAAACTATGTTTTTTATCTTTTATTTTTATTCATGCTCAGGTTGAGTATTTTCCGAGTTAGTACATCTGGGCACTTTTACTCTTTGATAGCTGGGCGGTTTCTGCAGAATCCCACCATTCTCACTGAATAATTTATGTATTCCTTAATGATTGATCAAAGATCTGCATAACGCATACTATTAATTATAATACAAAATCTCTAAGGTCTTTTCACTTCACTCACTAAAGGAGATAGTGCTCAATATAATTCAATATAACGGATGACGGACAACCCCGTGTTAGGACAACACTGACTTAAGGACATGTATATATATGTTTAATACACATATAATATATGTTTTGATGCATTCCCAGCAGTTCATTAAAAACCAATTGTCACTAGATACAAGTACACGAACTAGTCCAATGGAACTAGTAAAATGGGTGGTTCGTGGGTATGAGTAAAATCGCCACTTCGAATATATAAATTTCTCAATGATTTTTTTATACAAAATTTATTATATTAATTAATATAATACGTTATACATTGACACATGATTTAATGTATAATATATCATAATACAAAAAAAAAAATCAGTGAAGGAATTCAGTTGAAAAAGAATAAAAGAAAAATGCAAAAAAAAGTGCTATTAGAATTAAAATTTTTTATAGAAAACCGCTATTGCATAAAAATTATCATTATTAAAATTTAATATTCCATTTATGGAATCGAATCATGGTAGAGATTAGTGCAGTTATATATGTATTGTTGACGATGCCATAATCAAGGAACTTAAATTTGAATATGACAAATATAAATGAACCACCAAAAAATGTTTTTCATACATAGTATGACCAGTAATTGAACCCATTCACAGTCTGTAATAATAAATTTTACAATTTTAAAAAAGTGTATATTGGCCATTATTATTTATGACTTTTTATCATTTCTAGGTTATCTTCTTGATTCCATTAGTGTAGAACTTTTTCGGTTTATTGATGAAAAACTTAGTTAAGTGACTTTTAGCGGCTTCCCCGAATGGCGAATTAAGTACATTTAAGAGAGTTTTGTAGAGACCGATGCAAATGAGATTTATGTCTATTTCAATGAGATGGTGAAAGACAGGGACTCTAGCGTGGATGTTTCAAAACCTTTCAACTAACTTCCAGTAAATTATTCGGAGTAATCAAAGATGTGTGTAGTCTGGTATAGTCATGACGAAATACAATGACTTTTCTGTTTTTTTGAATTCGTGTCGAGTTTCCTTGATTGTTTCGCTGAAACGAACGAAAGTTCAGTCTGAAAGAAGCAGCGATTTCCATTAACTTCTTCTGGAGGACATTTGAAAAATGTTTTAATATATGTCACAACTAATAACAAAGCACAAAATAATAAATATTACATAGATCAATTTAAAAGATGAAAAGAGTCAACATTGTGTAGTTGACCCATGCCATATCAGGTAGTTTTAGTCTTATTGTGAGGCTGCTGATGGATCACTAACGGTTAAAAATTCATTTTAGAGGAGTGAAATATTCCGTGAAATTAATATTGCCACAACTGAAAGTTAAAAGACGAAGAAGTTTATTCAGTATTCAGTGCATGCACCAGGAAATAAATTTTAACAGGATCTTAATCAGAGAGCTTCTCTGAAATTGTCTTAAAGAGGGATAGTTGAAGGATATTTTCATATCTTTTGAGGCAATCATGGCTACAAAATGGGTTAAGAATAGACTAAGAAGCATAGTAAAATAATAAACTTGATCATAGTGTGGCTACGTTATATGTCAATGGAAAATAGTTCAAAAAAATTATTTAAAAATTAATTTTACTATATATTTTATTAAATTAAATTATTAAAATAAAAATTTTCAAAATTCCAAATTTGCAAAATTAATATTTCGCCTTTTTTTTCATTTCAATTCGGTAATAAAATGGCAGCCACAAATTGGAATAAATCTAAAATCGTTTGCATTACTGAGGAAAGCTCACCGGTCATTGAAAGTTAGTAGAAATTAATATACTTTTGTTTCAACCTGTATAATATTCTTCTATAAACCAATCAGATAGCTTCAGTACAGGTACAGATCTTTATGTTGTAAAACTTCAAAACATGCGTACCATAATCGAGGTGCGTCGTTTTATGTACAGCAAATTACTTCCAAATGGTATGTGCTACATCGTTTATTTTAGATTTTAAAGTGATTCTCTTTGTCTATATTATTCAGGTACTATCCTACCACTTGACTTTACAACCAACAATACACATTTCATTGATGATTATATCAATTATTGTAAGACGTTAGTAGAACCTACACGTAGTGTCTTCCCAACTACAGCACCAAACATAATTATACCAAGAACCAACTTTATTAATGTAGAAGAAAAGCGAAATCAAACAACATCTATGGCAAATATGTCCAAAGTGAATGCTCAAACGCAGGTAATTAAGTCAATCTATTATAATGATCTTTTACTGGTCTCTGGAACACAAAATATTTTCTTTCCAGACAATATGTACACGTAGCATAAGTACTTCAACTGATCCTGAGAAAAAAGTCAGATTTGTTTTCCCCAGAAAAAAAACTCGGAATTGCTGTTCCTGTCGCTCAGACAACGACCTTTTTAAAAGACCAAGGAAGATGTTAATCTTTAGATCAGCAACTAATTTGAAAATTGGAAATAAAAACTGTAAAGGAAATGCTTGTAATGAATCTGAGAGCTGAATTAGTTCATTAAGTTATCAATATGTGAACCTTTTGAAAAACAAAAAGAGATGCAAAATATTCATAATAATAAAGAGGTAGCATTTAATATATCCACCTTTTTTTATAACAACTGTGTGTAGTAGCTTTCCAAAATGCTTTCTTAAGTAACCCGCATATTAGAGGTACTATTAAATTGGTAAGAATCTAATGCTCATAACAATTATTTTTCTAATTTTAATTTAGTTTTATCTAACAACTAAAACTATATTGCTCTATATAGTTCATTCCAATAAAGATGTTTTTTTCAAAGTATTATTCAAAAGTTTATCGATATTGAACACTGCGTGAAAACTGCATTATTTATACTTGATCTGGAATATAAGGCGGATGATCTTCAGATGTGTATTAATATCATTTGCTTATTTATAGAGCAGTAGGAGTCAATAGGTGGGAAGAAAACATTCCCCCACCTAGGAAAATATTTACTTATTAAGAAGTAAGTTTATATATGATAAAAAAATTGTACTATAATCTGTGTTACAAGACTGATACTCAGTAAGGCGTATTTAGGAACTGCTATGCAGTGAGGCTGCAAGAGCAACGTCTAATTTCTTAAAAAGTAGTAATCTGAACCGCTATTCAAAATTTTAACATTGCTGATTTGGAGGTAGCCCATCTTTATATATCCAGGTTTATTTTCAGAAACCAGATCACAAAAATCTTAGTTTCAAAACCAACAAGCGCGATTGATAAAGGAGATTATTTTTTGAAGTTCAATGTTTGTGATATATGTCTGGCTCCTTTTTTCGTCAACTTCAATAGTGGAAGGTTTTGCTAGGCCTGGGTATTTGCAAAGAAAACGTTTAATTGTTTATTTTTCCTTTGCTTCCCGACAGCTTCGGCATTTGTGGTTAAAGGAAACTCAGGTTTTCGGTTTAGTTGTTTATTTTTCCTTTATTTTTCGGTGGCTTCTGTATTCGTGGTTCAGAGCGAAATCCATTTTTTCGGTTTAATGGTTTATTTTTCCTTTATTTATCGGTAGCTTCTGTATTCGTGGTTCAGAGCGAAATCCATTTTTTCGGTTTAATGGTTTATTTTTTATTATTTTCCGGCAGCTTCTGCATTTCTGGTTAAAAAGGATACCCAAGTTTTCGGTATAGTTGTTCACTTTTACTTTGAAAAATTAATCTCAAAAACACTTTAAGCCTAAAGTGTGATTAAGAAACAGTCCCCGACTAACTTATTTAATATAATTGGTCTACAGTAGTAGTCATCAATTACTGTAGCCAACACCTATAGGTCATCTTGTGTCTACACTGACTACACTTTCGCAAGTTTTTGACCCACATTCTTATATCTTTTCTAACACATGCAAATTCGTGGTAGCACCTTAAGTTGGAAAATAATGCGTATTTGTTTTCGAACATAAAAATCTTGCCAAGTTCTAACCAGTGTATGTGTCGAGTTGATTGTGCGTTGTTTGAGTTAATCCTCAATATTTTGAGGACTCTAATATTGTATGACATTTAATACACTTTGATTCAACTAAACTTCATTAGTAACTTCTTCTTTCACATAAGCTAGAATATAAGTGAATGCAGAAAAGAACACTTACTTGTGTTTTCGGGAAACGCAATCCATATTCCATCTGGAAAAAACCCATTATTTCGAATAAAAAAATTAATTTGTTTACGGATTTGACACTCTACTTAAATATCTTTTCATTCATTCATTGACTGTTATTACTTATCATTCAAAAACTGAATTATTTTTTATATTGAAACGAGTTTTGTTTATTTTTATTTATAATGAATCTTACAAAACAACAGCTGATGACGATAAACAAATGATAAACAATAAACATTTTTTGGGGGTATTTTATATGCCGGACGCATTCGTTCAAATTGCAAATAAAAATTTCTGACTGGATTTCGATTAAATTTTAAATTTCTTTTAAGTTATGAAAATTATTTAAAAAAAAGAAAACAAACATAATATATTAAAAAATCGTAAACAATTTACTGTGTAATGCGAATTTGCGTAACTTTTGACCATGATCCGAATAAACCCGTTCCACGAAATCTTCATGAACGACTGAATGCCCTCTGCACAATGAGTCCACAACAAAGTCTGATGACTAGTGAATTGTGATATCAATTGCTTCGACCAAAATCTTTTAAGGTAAATTAAAATGTTTATTATTTTTTATTTTACTAATTCGGTGAAAGCGACCTTTAATTAAAGAAGTCGTTTTATATACCATACGTTTAAAGAATGCACTTAGATACTTATAAACATTCATTTGAAGTTTTTTCTTTAGGCACACATTTTTGTTTATTCGACATAGCTATAGATTAGGTGGACCCAATTATTTAACAAAAAAAAAAACATGATAAGAAACTCATTTTATGCTGTTCAAGTTAAGATTCATTTAACTTGCTTAAGAAGATTCGATTACATCGTTTCACGAAGATTATATAACGGAATTAGCTCCTTTATCTTGAATGATTTAATATACTTTGTTCTTGGCATCTATTTTCTGGCTTTTAAATTCATCTATTATCCATAGCTTATTGATATAAGCCTTTGATTTCAAATACCCCAGAGGAAAAAGTCTGTGTCAAGTTAAGCGAACGCGTTGTCCATTCAAAAGGACTATTCCATGATATCCAGTGATCAGAAAACAAAAGTTTGAAATTGAAATTGGCATCGATATTGATTGACTACCAAATATAAGTTTTATACAGACTATATTAGAATATAGTCTAGAGACTACAAAATATTTGTCATCAAAATATTAATCATTAATTGTTTAACTTGATCTGTTAAAATTCTATGAATAAATGTTCACACCTATAAACTAATAGACTAGTTTTTCAACTATGAAAGGTGTTTTGTAAGTCTACTAACTATTTTTCGCCATTAAATTCGTCATGGAATTATATTCAAGCGAAACTCTTTATTCTTGATAACTAATTCTGATATAAGATATTTGCAGCAATGGACCGACCTGGTCCATTGCTGCAAATGGACCAGGTCCATAGATTACCATAATACATACTTTCATTCGACAAAAAGTAAGAAATTTTCTCAAGGGAACTGCTAAGATCTATTCAAGCCCCTTGATGGTAGTACCAGTATATTACTTACGAAGTAGTAAATAAAGAGATCAACAGTCAAATTAAAGTACAATTTCATTTGATTCGTAATATTTGAGCGAGGTTTTTCGAATTAAGGCAGCTAAACAAATTTAAAATAGATACACCTAATAGTGTAAGAAACCTTCTATATATAACCTTCTATTCTATATATACAAAATACAGTTTGGAAAGATAATAACTTCAAAAATTTTTAAACATAGGTAGAATGATATGAAAGAATCCATAACCCATGCGATTTCATATAAAATGAATAGAATGTAAGAAGGTCTCCTTTTTAGGGAGCTATCTATGATACATCACTAGTCAAATTAGAAATTAATCTAATTAACGAATCAACAAAAAAAGGTCTAATTAGTGTAATCGAAACGATGGATATTAAAATTGAGCTTAACTAGTGACACTTAGATTTGAAGATATTTGCATAATGGCAACTGAGTGCAAACCTTTTTTATAAGATTAAGTAATGAAACTAATATACTGCAGCAGTACACCATATATCCTATACACCATGACCCCTAAAACATATAATTTAAAATTTCAATAATTTCACTAATACAAAAGAAATAAAAACTTAGTTACCTATGATTCTTTTATTAAAAAGAAATTGTTTTTTAAAAAATTTGAGAAATAGTTAAGTAAATTCAACAAGAATTAATTGTAAAAAATTTCAGTATTAAATTTGATTTGGTTTTTGTGGGGCTAAAAATTTATCTCAATGTCTATTTTAAGTGATTCCGTCAAAGTGAGAGCTTTGGAATATGTAAAGATGACCAAAATTTTCCCTAAATGCGGTTTTCTTGAAACTGTGAAGAACTCAAGCGAAGTAATTACAAGTAAAATTTTTGGGCAATATATATATATATAGATATATATATATAGATATATATATAGATATATATATATATATATAGATTCGAAATTCCAGATATATTAGTATTAAATTATTATATCAAGATATGATAAATTAGTAAAGATATACTTTTTATATTTAAATAGAAATTAAATATATAAAATTCACTACATTTTTGTAGCTTTGTGATGAGTTTCGTAAATTATTGGACTCAAGCTTATCCTTTGAAGAATACATATCACTTTTGGCTACTTCCGCAATCATTTATGTTTTAGCCGAAACAAAAACACTGCGGGATATTTTAAAAACAGGACTTCTGGAAGAAATCATAAGTCGTATACAACTTAAGCATGCGGGTCCCGTAAGTAGTTCTCGTATGATTTTTTATAATTATGCGAATTTTAATTTTCAAAACATGTTTTCTATTACAGACACAGGCTATGTGCCAAGAAATTTTTAGAGCACTTCAATATCAATCTTTGGATGCATACCCAAATATCATTACTTTTGCTTTAGCTCTTCCATTGGAATATCCTACATCTGTAGCCATACATTTATGTTTGGCTTCGGCTTGCCTATATAAATGTATTAATTTCTCAAATTATAAATGGAAGGCAAAGTTTATAAATGTATGAAATTTGTATTTAAAAAAAATTTGCTTGATATAAGATTCTTCGATTTTTTTCTTTGACAGTTCCACAGTCTAATTAAATATATGGATCTTGTGGATGATGATATTTTTCTTGGTGGAGATAAATCTGTATACTTTTGTTATTTCCTGAAAGCAATGTCTGCTTTGTTACTTATCATACTATTTAACGGGGATCACCAGGAATTGATTTTGATGGGCTATTCACCTTACATTACATACAACGTCCAGGATCTTAGAAAACTCATTCTTTGGTTTTTGAGGTTACTTGTAAAAATGTCAAGTTTAAATACGGAAAATCATTATGCTTCGGCGTGCCATTATCAGGTATATTTTTACATTTTATTATAATATTATATATAATGTATATAAATCATAATTTTTTTTTTCTAGTTGACAGCAATTATGAACTCATCAATCCTTGAACGCATACAATTTGTCGAATATGAAATGTGCAAGGAATCAAACGCCTAGGCATAAAATTTATTACTTTGAAACCACATATATATCGTAGAAATTAAGAAGGCTTATCGGTGTAATTATTGTAGATTTGTATAAATTCTTCTAAAAACATATATACAATAAAACCGCATTGTACCACTGTAAACTGTATATATACTTAAATAGTTTGTATACATTTACTCTCATATTTTTTAGCAACCTAGTTATAGATTTAAGTTTTCGTGTACTATCAAAATCTTTATGGGTCGATACTAAAGATGTAAGGTAATCTAAACAACTCTTTTGGGTTAACAATACAGAGACTCAATAAATAAATAAATAGATTGCTCTGAGGTTTTATTACAGTTATTCCATTCGATTTAGTATAGTAATGTAAGTTTAAACCACAGACTGACATGGAAAAATTAGATAAACTTAATGATAATTTAATTAAATGAATTTAAATTTGTTAAAATTCAAAACGAATGCAATGGTTGGTATATTAAAACCTGATAAAAATTGTCTGGAAAAGAAATATCCCTCTCTACATGAATAAGCCTCTGTAGATATTTGTAAACTGACAATTCTAGTGTTGTAAGTTTTCTACATTATTAATCATAAATACTATGAAATATAGTAAATGCTTCGTATTATATATTAAACGCAAATAGGTCTACATATTCCTTATGTCAATAGCCCTACGAAGTTATCAAATTGTAATTTTCTGCGACAGTACACCGACTATTCACATTTTGTTTAACCAAAAGCAAAATTATAACTAACGTAGTAGTGTTAATTAAGTTCAGAGATTAACCAGTGCATAATATCACTAGTTTACTTCCAAGGGATCGCAGAGTACAATACTATGAAATTAATTAAAAATAGGCGTATAAACTATAGTCAGATAATATAATCAGACATGTGTCAGAAGCATTTTAAGCAGAGAAACAAATACTGATCTCATTGGAATATGCCAAAAAAATATTTTCAAAATTTCTTAAGTTTAAAAAGATATCTATAGAACGCCATGCTGAACTTTTAAAAATGTGTTCTTACATGGCCAAGTAACAAATTGTTAATATTATCAAATTATTAAAATATTTTCTGGATGCCCTATGCTCTCCTACAGGATTTAAAGGAAATCATCATCATCAACCTTCTATTTGGTAGAGTATGTTCGAAGTCACAAACTTTGTGGCGGTGTTCATAAGATCGTTCCTGCAGGGAAAAAATGGAAATAGACATATTTGAATGAATACATCTTATGTAAATAAGTAGGCTAAGACTGAGACGTTATATTATGAGAGTTTGTGAGCCATTGAGCATAGCGATTTTTCACATATAGATGTTACAATGATAATCTTTTTCATCAACCACGCTGATTACTTTTACAAGTTATAATCACATCTTCGTAGGCGTGGTAATAAAAATAATTATATTTGGACAGGTTGGGAAACTACTGCCAGTATTTAAATTAATCAACCGATTCTGCAAAGGATAAAATGGATACCGTATCTAAAAGATGTATGGGCAAGTTGCTCAGCTATAATAATAGTTAAGTTAGGTTTGGAGTGGCGGCCTTATGAGATCACTTAGAGCCAAATAATGGCGCGTCTTAGTACTACGGATTAGCTGACCTCTAGTCGGTGCATGATCGTACGACGTAAGGCAAAACAATTTAGTTTAGTTTTTAATCATACTAATAATAGTTTAACAATAAGTACATATATATCGAAAATTCCATATACTTGATCTACCAGATAGATTTGTGTACTTCAAAAATAAGTAAATCAGTGAATAAGTTTATATAAAACATATTTAGAATATCATAACATTTCAACTTAAATTTAATTACAGTATTTAAATAGTTTGAAAATTAATTTGTTAAATAGAATTATATTATAATTATTTATATTAACAGTTAGTATATGATGGTGCCTTAAGCTTAGTACTACGATATCGATAGCATTTTTTGTACAACATAGTAAAAATTTATTTTATAAACTGTTTTTATTGCTATTAATTAAAAAAATTAATAGTTTTTTAGTTAGTTATAGAAAATAAACTTGATAAATTTTTTATAGTTACATATTTTCTAATAGGAATATTATCTTACAAAGTACTGTGAGTACGCCAACAGACCGTAATAAAACCGATATAACAGGTTCGTAATAGACTGTGTGCTATTCAATAGCTGTTAATATATCTGAAAATAGAAAGCTTATATTCATATCAATATACATATATATAATTATATGCAATTTTTTAAAAGCTTCCATTTAAGTTAAACTCGTACTTTACAATGTAAACATGTAAACACGCAACCCAAGTTCTATTACTGCACCTCAGTCAATCTGAGTCGGAGTTCATTAAAGTATACAGTTTAATAAAATAAATGTGTTTATAAATGCTTTAAATTTTTTGATTAGTTAATAATATAATGAATGATGTAGTAAAAATACAATTATTAAACAATCGTAGGTAGATGTAAACAATTTTCCTTAGCAAAATGTTCAGTTTTCTTACTATGAGTAGCGCGATAACTTGTAAAATCGTTCTTGATTGAATAAATATGTTTCTAGAGTTTATTTTAACTATATTGGTAGTACTTCTATTTTACTCCGGAGTTTGGAAAGTCAGTTATTGGCGACGAAATGGCATTATTAGTCCTCGTGGTTATCCGATTTGTGGCAATATGTGGAAATTTGTGCTGACTAAAAAACATTTTGGTGCAATATATGAAGACATTTATAAGTTTGTATATAGAAATTGTGAAAAATAACTGATCTATTAATTATTTAAATTAATTTCAATATAATTTATTACTTATTCAATTGGTTTCATAATAGATTTTTATTTATTCTTTACATTGCTTTGAAGTGCTTATGCAGATTTGCCTTACGTGGGCATTTATCGTATATTCAATGAACCGTCCATACTTGTGCATGACCAGGATGTGATTAAGGATATTATGATACGTAGATTTACACACTTTCAGGATAATGTACTATGGGTGGATGAAGAGCGTGACCCACTTGCGTGCTGTAATCCTTTTATAGCAAAAGGTGAAAAATGGAAGCAATATCGCTCAGACATTGTTCCAATTTTCACTCAAAGTAAAGTATGTAAAATTATTACAGAGTATTTTCTCGAGTGCATATATATGTATGTATATATGAGATACAAAATTTTATTTTATTTTTCTGAAAAGGTAAAATTAAGTTTTGCAAAAATACAAAAGGCTTGCAGTGAAATGGACAAATATGTTGAAATACATTTGGATGAAAACTGTTTCGAAGCGAAAGAGGTAAATGGATTTAAATTGTAAATGAAGAAATAATTGAATATTTAATGGAAACACGAACACCTATCGATAACTCATATGAAGATAAAATAAATTATATAAACTTATATGTTTATATACATATTTACAAAAATTTTCCAATCAGAGCGATATTTCTTAACTCAAAATGTAGTAGAGATTGAAACAATATGTTTATGTAGTTTACACGAACTGAACTGGTAATATCTTCAAAAAAGAAAAGAAAATATTTATAATTAAAATTGAAAATACAATATCTACAACTCACTAAAGAAAAGAATTTAAAAGTAAATAACGTTTAATTAATTTAACGGGTGCCATGCGGACTTGTCCAACAACATCCATGAAGGTCCTTCTAGAACTCACACCATTGTCGATATACACCAGGTCCTAAGCGGAAAGGGCAATTCTACGAATGAAGAAAGGAAATATAACGTATAGCTGGCTCAATAGTAAGAAGTGCAAAAATCTTGCCAAGCAGCTTCCGGAGTTTTTAAAGCTATGAGACACGATGTATTCTAAGTTCAGCTTTATTAAGCTATTTAAAACAGAAGTAAGCAACAAAAGAAACAGGGAATACATCAATCAAACCTACCAGCTAACGGATAGCACAACCGCATGGTTCACTACAGGTTTTCTTACGCTGAGGAAAAATACTAGCATCTTCCAATCAATAATTTACACAAGAAAGCGGCCACACACATGCTGTTAGAATGCCCTGCGCTAATGCACAAACGGAATAGGCTCCTGGGAATGTATATTCTTATGGAAGAGGCAATAAAATTCTGAAAAGTAGGTTCTATACTACTTTTTATTGAAGCAACAGGGCTTAGCGGCGTAATATAAACCCAATAGTCACGACACAATAGTCACGACACAATAGTCACGGCGGGCACAATAGTCACGACGGTCGCGGTGCTACATCCCCTAACAATAACAATAAACTTTTGACCCTTTAAAATATTAATCACAATAGTTTTTTTTGTTTAATAAAACAACAAAAGAATTATTTTTATCTATACCTATTAAGTTACTTAAATATCTAATAATGGGATCTGAAAATTTTATCAAAAATTGTTGGTTGATTTTTGAGGCAATTAGCAGATCTACACTTATACGTTAAACTTGTTTACATACCCTTCTATATAATTTTAGCAAAATAATACTACATTTTAAAATTTTTATTTAATTTTAATATATATATATATATATTATGTTTTCAGTTATTTTCCAAATATCTTCTCAACGTTGTGGCCTCCACTGCCTTTGGTTTCAATGCGGATTTGTTCTCAAATACAAAATCGGAATTCACAAAACTTGTATCTCACATTTTTCTACCGAAAATGTTCAGCCTAATTGAGACGATTTCCCTACTATTTTCACCTGCCATAAATAAATTAACAAAATACCAGTATGATTTAATTTTAACATTAATGTATTAATTCTATATATAAAATTAATATATTTTAGTTATATTCCTAAGCCAACGCAGCAATGGCTTTATTCAATTCTGACAGAAAATGTATATCAACGCTTGAACCCAAATGACATCTCACCGCCGACATCGGGGGGTATTTACAGTGATTATATACAATGGTTAATAGATACTAAAACAAAACATAATGAACCCATTGATATAACAACAATAATAGGACACTGTTCCACATTTTTATTGGAAGGATTTGAAACTTCATCTTCCCTAATGGCATTTGCTATTTATGAGGTAAAAGAGTTTTTGGATGGAATGTCTTTCAGAATATTTATAAAATTATTTGTAGTTTGCTAAAAATGCGCCAGTACAATATCGTGTACTGCAAGAAATTGATGAAGTGTTGGAACGTTACAATGGTGTACTCAGTTATGAGGCTCTACAAGAAATGAGTTACTTGGAAGCAAGCCTTTATGGTAAGTATAACATAGAAGCATCAAACATTATATACTTATTATATAATAGCCCTGTGTTAATGCACATACGAAATAGGCTCTTGGGAATGTATATTCCTACGGAAGATGCAATAAAACTTTGTAAAGTAAGTTCTATACTAATTTTTATTGACGCTTACAGGGGTTAAAGACCTACTCTAAGCCCAGAAGGGGCACAATAGACCCGACGGTCGCAATTCTACATCCCCTAACAATAATAATAATAATATATAATATAATATGAATATAAGATATAATTTTCGAAACAGTTGCTAGCCATAAATTAATTAATTAATAATTAGTAAAAAATTACTGTTGTATTTTACTGTTATTAATGTTATATATTTACAGTAATTTGATATCAAAATTATTTATTTTAAATTTAATTCAATTTATATATATACACAAATGTCCTTTTAGAAACCTTACGTTTGTATCCAGTAATGGCAGCGTTGTTGAAGCATTGCACTAAGCCATTCACTCTACAACCGCAAAAACAAGGAGGAAAAGCGTTTACAGTACCAAAAGGGATGGTTATGGTAATACCAGTGAAGGCAATACACTAGTGAGTATTTCAAAATTTTAATTTATTTCTACGTTATATTTCAAATCAATGATTGATTTAGGACTATGTTATGTAGATATTCATATAACAAATGGTTGTGAATGCTAAACTTTCTCTCTGTTGATAACCTTCAACTATGTTGTGTAGACTGTAAAGTTTGAGTTTTTAATTTTTTACAATCACTACTTGATTCTTAATTCTTCTTCTTGAGTTAGTGCTATTACGCACTTTTACTCTATAATGGCTGGGGGCTTATCTCTACCCCACACTAGGCTTTAACTAGGCTAAGAAATCATATCATTTATTTATCTTTCACTACTACTTTGATACATTTTGGTTGCGTCTAAATTTAAAAGATTATATTTTTTGTATAATCATAAAAAAAGGGTGGAGGTCTAGCATTTATACAATTAAGCAATAGTGTTTTTACAACCATGACGAGATATAGATAATGAATAAAGTTAAAACGAATTTTCTTTTTTACTCCGATACTCAAATTTTTAATTTACACTGAAAACAACAAAAATTCCACATTTGTGGTAAACATGACAGTCTGCATAACATGCCAATTACAAAATTTCAATATTCAATCATTTAATTATAATTGATTGTGAATATTTTACTCTACTCACTGAAACAAATACTGTACATAAACAAAACAACATCATTGTTGTTGTTAATTGATTGTTTGTTTCTGTACACTGTTTTGTCATTGTCATCGTTGTTAATTTAACTCTTAAATGAAAAGAAGAAAAGAAGAGAGAGAAAAATGATGACAATGATAGAAAGATCTTCTTAAAAACAAATTCTAAGTTTTTATAAAAACATATAAAGGACTGTTTTTGTTTAACTTAAAACACTAGAACAGTTTCCAGGACTTCAGGCTATTGTGGGCATTTTAATTAAATATGTTTGAATAAATACTTGAAATTAATAAATAACAATTAAATTTACTATTTATTTATTTACTATTTATGGTATTATTTATTTAAGATATATTATACTTTTAACTTTGGATATTTATTAGAAGTTTTTTAAATTTAGTGATGAAAATCTGTATCCAGAACCTTTGAAATTTCAACCTGATCGATTTATTGATGCAAATGAGAAGCAACGATTAGGTTGCATGTATTTAGGTTTTGGTGAAGGTCCTCGCATGTGTCCAGGTATTTATCACAAATTATATATTTGGAAAATGATTTATTTTAAAACTATTATTTCTAGGTACACGTTTGGCTTTAGCACAGAGCAAGGCTGGACTTGTAACTTTACTTTCCAAGTATTTTGTTTATTTGGCAGGCAAAACAAAAAATCCACTAAAAATATCCACCACAACCTTCTTAACCGCAGCTGATGATGGTATATGGATAAGTTTTAAGCCGAGGAAATAATTTTAGTAGTTTTGAAAATTATCAAATAAGAATATCAATAAAAATATGTACCAAATAAATGTTTTTAGTATAATTGAATATTATTTTTTTTTCATTTCATTATACAATTTAAATATTATTAATTCTTAAAGGAAAATGAAGATATTCTGGAATCTTCACATTGATCATAGATAAAATTGATGAGAGTAATCCTGAACGAATAGGCACAATGTTGTCACGGTATGTTCGAATTGTATAAACTATAAAAGTGTCTCTTCATCAGCTGGACCTATTCATTAGAATAATCAAAACATAAGTTCAAGATAGGGTTTATAGAACAATTTTCACATGTTTTAGCTTATGTTCTAGCTTTTCTTCTTTTTTGGAATATATTTTCGTTGAGTTTTGCGATTTTGTTCCAGCTTTCCGTTCGTGCCTTCTATTTTCCAATATTTTTCGATGTTATATTTCCTATTCCCTCTTCTGACCTTGTCATCCAACTTGTCATCTTTCCTAATTAAAGAAAGTGTGCTCTGTATCGTACACGTCTGTTGCACGATATAAGCAACAGGATTGCTCTATTTTCCTATATAGATATTTAGGGAAGTATACGTGACCAGATGAGATGGGGTATATAAAATTTCTTTCAGTCTATGATTTCACATTTGGGATTAATTTTGCTATACATCTTCATCTTGATTCAGTGCAATATCATTATTGCCAAGTGTACAAGCTTTGTTTCCTTTTGCGTTGTATTTCAAATGAATTATTTTCTGATCTATGTTGCCAGTATTTTCTCCGATCATAGGTCTATAACTTTTAATAATAATAATAATCACAGGAGTCGTTATAATAATACTAGAAATATGTAAATATTTTTTTAAATTTATTAAATATTTATTTTAACTATGAATTGTGCATTCTATATCTTAAACTGTTTTGTCATTTTTATTGACATATTGACATTTACACAAGATCATTCATTTCCTCTCTAATATTTTTTTACGAAAACTTATTTTCGTTGACGTTCAAGTTTCTTAATAAAACTTGCATTACTAAAGGAAAACTGATGAATGCACCCATTTTGCAAAAAGTTTCTGTTGAAAGGAAGAATTCCGTTCGCAGTTAAGTTTCTGATGTAGTTAAGGCAAATGATTTAAGAAAAGATTTTTTGTTAGTAATTCAAAAAATGCAGGATATTATTTTTAAGTTTGTGAACTTCAATAATCAATCAACATGTACTATACAAGTACTTTTACTTAAGGAATGAAAGCACCTAAATGTATGTACTCTAGGGAGCAATATTTGTAATCGTTTATGACGACGTCAAATAAACTACGATGGATTTAATAGATGTCCTTTAATAGATTTTAAAAGAATTTATTTAAATATTGTTTTTCTTAATAAAGTTTGACGTTTCGTTTTTATAAAATTAAATGAAAAAACCATATAAAACGTGGATAAAAAAGCAATAATTATTACTTATTATGACAAATTTATTGATTTAAATTTTAGAATTTTTTTAATTTAATTAATAATATTTAAAAATGTTAATTTTAATTATTATTGAAATTATTATACAGCTGGTTTATGATTTCTTTCTAATATAAACACAGCAAGTGAATTTGTTAACATACAAGTCAAGTACGGCTTTGGGTCAGTTGGTTAAAGTGCGCTCACTTTGAGCTTCAAATTTGGCAGGGCGCGAGTTGGATTTCTGGCACTTGCAGTCTCAAAAAAAATTATTTAAGAATAATTAAATACAAGAAATGTTTTCACGACCATTGATGATGGGTATTTAGCAATACTCGAAATAGCTGTATGGTCAGTCAAAAATTCAATTAATTAAAATAATATAAAATTAATTTTTGTTGTTGTATTCGAAAAACCTCTTTATAGTTATTTAATATAATTTTCTCAAAATGATTAGAAATAATTTATTTGCAATTGTTTTTTAAGGTCAAAAACGGCAGATAATGATATCTAGAAATGTTACATTGATTTAAAATAAAATTACAAGAAAACTGTTGAAATATTCAAAATGAATAAATTTTGTATGGTTCATTCACTTAAATTCAGATTTGATTGCGTTTTTATTCAAATCATGCTAGACATTCAAACATCAATCAGTGGAAGACAATGTAAATAGCTCAACTTCACCAAAAATGTTCCGTACGTGCCTTTTCATAGTCAAATTATTGAATCCAAGTCACCCGTTGGATTTGGAAGTCAGTACAAAATATTAGATTATTTATCACGTCTTAACATAATTTATTGTAAATCAATTTGCACTGATAGACATAAATAGAAATTCTAGATTTGCTCTAATCAAAACTGGTGAGTTAAACTGATGATTTATGTGAATTCAAATAAATTTATTGAAATTCAAAAATAATTATTTTCATTTTGTTTTGTAATTATTTACATACAGTTAAGTACTCCAGTGAAATGTCAAAATACAATTATACTATTCATACTACCATATAATATTCATAAAGTCATTATATGCAAATAAAGTAATTATTCAATTTACACAGAAATTAAAGATATGTTCACTAATTATTATTTTCATATTGAATAATCGCCACTATTATTTTCCACAAATTTCAAATATTTAGTTAGAATTAGTAATTATCTCAATTCAAGGTAATTAAATTCATATTCATAAAACTCTTAATAATTTGAATAAGTTTTATTTAAAATATTTTATAAAATATATATTGATAAATAAAATATTGTATTTAAACTGTACACTATGTGCTTTTAATATTCTTCCTATTGTACAAGGGGAGAAGATTGGTAGATGGATTAAAATGGATGATTAAAAAATATTCTTGCGATACTTATAATGAGTGATTATTTGCCATTTGAACAAAATTTCCCTAATAAAAAAGTAGATAGTTTATTTTATTATTGCCGATAAACAGTCTAATAAATTGACAAAAAAAGTGATTCTCTAAAAGTTTATCCATCCTATTAGCCAAATCAGGATAATAACAAAGAAAAAGGGTGATTGTTTCTTTTTCATCCATGTTTTCTCAACTTCTGCAATGAGTGTTTAAGAAAACACTTTCAAATGGAAATTTTTTTGTATTTATGGTAAGGTTCCAGTTTTTGATCCGGGAAAAATATCATTATATTTCGATTTCTGGGTTAAGTTCCTAGTAAGTATTTTCATTATATTTGTATAACAAATTAGTTTTTACATCACGATTAATATGGTTTTGATTATTCCTCTGAAAAGCTTGATCAATAAGTTTTTGCGATAAAAAAGCAAGTTCTACTGGTTTAGTGCTTAAGCAAGTGTTTTTGAACTTTTAACATTTAGTCAAAATAACTCAAACTTACGTTCAAACTGAAAATCTATATGCGAGTTACATTTCTGTACCGTACATCTCTATATATATAATTCTTCTGTACGTGTGTTGACAGTGAACTCCTCCTAAACTATTTTGAATTGCAAATTAGAAGGTGAAGCTGTTCTCCTGCCACGAACAGCTTCGGCCTACTGACTTTTAAATGGAGGTTCACACCATCGAGGTCTGCGGTGGAATTAATTTTACTAAACGGTTAAAAGGCACCTATTTTTACTATACCAACAGATATTTAAGCAGCAATAAAGCCATCTACCTTTTGAATATTGTCTTCGTGAATTTTTCGTATACAACTGTGATATCTTGCAGTGTACTTAGCAAGCACTAATAAGGTAAACAGTCTAAACAGTAAACAGTCAGTCTTTGCATGGTACCTGTTCACACTATAATCGACTGCAGTAAATCCGCAAACAGACATTCAAAAACTAAATCAACCATACAATTCTGTGTACAAGAGCTCTGTGTAAAGAGCTGTGTACCAGATGAGGTTGATGATAGTTAGTCGGTTCAACACGCTGTTTTCCACTTTTAGTTCTTTAATTGATGTTGATTTGATGGTGAAAAAAAAGAAACCTATAATTACCATTTCGACAAAAATGGCTACCTTTAAACCTATTCTTCATGTGGTTTGTTGTTAACTAATATACCTCCCTAATCGCTCACACTTTTCAGCCTGGAATATAGTTTCATTATATTCCAAAGAGTAAATATATATGTCTGAGCAACAATAAAATTGCACCTAACACGTACACCATTTTTGATATCACAATATATCATAATTTGCTTGTTTGATGTTATTCTATGCAGACATTTTATACTCGTGCCCATAATTTGCCTATGACAGTTATTTTAAACCTAACAAAAATCAATTTTATAAAAACAAAATGCAATACCCTGTATAAAAATCATCATAAAATCTATCAAAAATGATTAAAATCTTCGGTTACGAATATTCCCAAAAAGCAAATAATAGCAACATATTTCAGCAATACAGTCAGAGTTAAATTTTTCCTATCAGACTACTAAAGACATTCCTTCATCCAAAAATATGTGCACATGAAAGCCTTCTTCCTTAAACTAACTGCAGGAGTGACAAATTGTCAAATACAACAACACAATCGTTAAGAGTTATTGAGTCCCCGACAAAAGCCACAAATAAAATACAATTTTTCCATTCGACAATTTCATCCAAAAAAAAAAAAACTAAAAGCTGTTGTGAAAGGATTTTCCTATATTCTTATTTTTTCAATTTTTCTACATAAACAAATTCTAAAATGTGTCGCTATAGTTTCTCACACCTCCTCCTCGACAATACAAATCAAGGAGTTTTTTATACTCGTATAAAATGTTAAGATTTGATTGTGAGATTGTTGCCTCCTTTGAGTTAAGGACAACCCAAAATGGTTTTTACCATGGCATTAAAACGAACAGATACTTTATAGAAATTTGGAGTTATTGAAATCTAATACACATAAGAAAGTTATTTATGATATCGTCCTTGGTGTGTTGTGCTGTTTGTCGGGTTGATGCTGTCGGTGATGTTTGATTGTGAAAAGAAGAAAAACTCCGCTTTGTCATGGACGAAAGGAATTTGTGTTGGGGGGAAGATGCGGATGTATAAATTTGAATGATGATAAATTTTTTTGTTATCACTTGAGCCACAATGATATGGTTCATATAGAACACTAATAATATATGGTTTGGAAAGAATTTATGTGTATTAGA